TTATTCGGCTATCGTTAATAGGATCATGAAAAAAAAGTATGTGCATATGTCCCATATAATATGTGATGTATGACTTAATCGGTCCATGCATGTTCGAGATACAGGTGATCACGGACGCACGCACGGACGCACACAGGGCAAAACATAAGTCCCCGTTTTCGGACTACGTCCGAACGGGGACTAATTATATTATAGTCATATTTGACTTTTGTTTTTATAGACTTGTTGTCACACGAATAATATTATATTTTATTTGTAACCTACAAACATTGTATATCATTTGCTGACTAAAAGTGGTTTATAATGTAGAGCTATCACCAGGACTATTCTATTTTATAATAGGGATGTACTTACCAACTGTACTTGATGCCTTATCAGCTTCTTCAATCTCAATTTCTAAGTCTCTTTCTTTCTCTGATAACAGTTCCATTAACTTTTCAATATCATCCTGAGCTTTGAGTAGTTCTTTGGCAGCCTGCCTGGCTTGTGGGTGGATCAACATATTCTACACACAACATAAACAAGCAATATCTAATGGAAACTGCACAGACAGGATTCATTTTTTTTATTATTACAAGCAGTGTGCCCTCATAACAGAACTGTTTTTGTTGGAATCTCATAAATCAAGTTGAGTCAGAACGCAAGGAAAGGGGGTGACTTATAAAGGCTCCAACTACATGTCTAAATATTGGATTTTTAGTGCATTTTTATGACTAAAATGGCCACCAGTTATCATCTTTGACCAAATCATGACACATGCAAATATATCAGATAACGTACATTGTATTAAAGGCCCAAGTTTTTATACAGGCTTCTAAACAATAGAGTATATTTTATTGTAAGTCTCAGTGTAGTAAACAGCTCCAGCCAGGTAAATTCATGTTTCCTTCAAACTATAAGTTGATTATGTCATGCCACAACAGTGATTCAATGTTGTATTTCTGACAATGATCTATGACCCATGACTAGATCACAATCTGACTAGTAGGTCCATGATCACACAATCCATAGATTTGAGAATAACAGCAAATTCTACCAATTGTGTTACATGTTAATTTATTTAATTTTTTCCTTGTAGCTATTTTTATGAAAATGATAAAATCATGCTGGAACTTGCGTGTGTGTGGTCCCATTCACTTGTATGAGACTATCAACCACATTTCACAGAACTGAGGAGGGAGTACTTTAACTGTAACACTCGCTAAAATATTCACACTCACTCATGTTGTTGTTGCTATTGTACAATTTCCTGTCTTGTGTTCAAACTCACTATTGTACAGGGAGACAATCATAGACTTACATAGGTCCATGGACAAAGATGAAGATGTCTCGTTACTATCAAAACAATCTAGACTGACTTCAGTCAGGGAATAGTTTTTCACTTTGGAAATTAGTAACAACTTGTTCTAAATGTTGCAATTTGATTTGTGTATACGCTTATACACCACCATTTCACAATTGTGATATGATGCCACAGAGATTATGGAATCCCAGACACGAAGCAAATGTCATAATGCAATGCAGTGTCTCAAATCACCCAAAAGCAATTGTTACCTCATCTCTTTCTTTCATCTCCTTTTCACGTTGTTTTTCTTTTTGTCTGTCCCTATCTTCTCTTTCTTTTTGCTTTCTTTCTTTCTGTTTTTCTTCATCTGTTCTTTTCTCTTTATCTCTCCTTTCTTTTTCTCTTCGTTCCTTTTCTCTTTGTCTTTCTTGTTCATGTTTTTTCTTGTCTTCTTCATCCTTGGCCTTTCTTCTCCTTAATTCACCTTCCAATCTTGCAATCTGTGCTTGTGCCTCTGAATCCTGCATTTGAGTGAGTGAAACAGAACACACAAATACATAAAGAACTTGCACAAAGTGAAACAAAACACACACTATGAATTTCAGCTCAGTCACATGGGCTGAAAAAGTCTTGAAGTTTGATCTTCCACTCTGATTTGAGCAAAAATACATATAGGCCATTTTATAGTTTCGAACTTTATAATGTGGTAGAACTAATGGAGATACTGACATGAATTCAATAACTGATATGAATGCTATTAAAGACTGGCACTGATATGAATGCTATTGAAAGACTGGCACTGATATGAATGCTATTAAAGACTGGCACTGATATGAATGCTATTAAAGACTGGCACTGATATGAATGCTATTAAAGACTGGCACTGATATGAATGCTATTAAAGACTGGCACTGATATGAATGCTATTAAAGACTGGCACTGATATGAATGCTATTAAAGACTGGCACTGATATGAATGCTATTAAAGACTGGCACTGATATGAATGCTATTAAAGACTGGCACTGATATGAATGCTATTAAAGACTGGCACTGATATGAATGCTATTAAAGACTGGCACTGATATGAATGCTATTAAAGACTGGCACTGATATGAATGCTATTAAAGACTGGCACTGATATGAATGCTATTAAAGACTGACACTGATATGAATGCTATTAAAGACTGGCACTGATATGAATGCTATTAAAGACTGACACTGATATGAATGCTATTAAAGACTGGCACTGATATGAATGCTATTAAAGACTGGCACTGATATGAATGCTATTAAAGACTGGCACTGATATGAATGCTATTAAAGACTG